GCAGCGCTGTGGTGGGCCAAAAAAAAAAAACTGGTCCGGACGAAGGACCTGCTCTGATACCATGTCAGAAGAATGAACGAGAATGAATGAACTATGAAAGAGTTGGGTACAAGTACTAACCCTAATTGGGTTGTACCCCTTATGGGCTACCCCACTATAGCCTACACAAATGTAAGCAGTATAACATTTTGACATCTGCAATTCAACATGTTGAACTGATTTGATTCGATACATCCCAGAAATTATCAATTTCAGCAAGAAACCAACAACGGTAGTAGATATGGAGCACAAGTACACGAACCAAAGAACGAGAACGCTATAGAAAGTATAGCGCAAAAGGTGAAACATCGAATAGAAAGAAGCAGCAAGACACGAGAGAAAATAGTGGCAAGGAAATGAGGTGCAACGAAAACAAACAAAAATGTATTCCACGATGCTTAATTTGCACAGATTAAAACAGGGAGAATGTATTTTTTTCTCATAGATCGGTGAGAACGGAACGAATAACAAAGGACTAAGAAACTAATCGAAGCATGGATACGAGTTTTTCAAACTGGAAGGAAACGTAACGAAGAAGATAGAAAATATGAGACAAGAGATAAAAAGAAAAGCAGAATATGCAGAACATTATGGCTCACGAATAAGATTAATGTTAAGATCAACATGGAAAGAGGAATGGATAAGAGAAACAGATAAAAGGCGAAATTGAAGGACATAATATCAGAAATTAAGCACCTGAGTTGCAGGTAGAAAAACAGACATGAGGGAGTTTTCATAGAAGTACGAACTCACCTAGTTATGAGTAGATCGCGCATAGTTGAATGAGAATGACCATTAAATGAGTAGCTCATCATGGAATGAAATGAGAACTGAACGGCAAGGATGGAGAGAAATCAGAAATGAAATGGAGAAGACAAATGTGGGTTGGTAGCAACAAGAAAATAGCACAAAATAAGAATGACCTGCTGCTTGGTAAACAATCTGGCTGCTAACGTAAGGAATGTTAGGCGTTCAAATCGACATAGCAAGATAATGAGAGGTAAGTAAGTAAGAATGTCAAGGAAATTTGCAAATACGATGTACCGTAATAAGAATACAACGAAGGAAAGGAGGCGATGAAGAACCGAAAAACGGACGCAAGCTTATGGAAAACCTGAAGCTAAAATATTTGCAGCAAGCCTACAACCTAAGCTAGAATGACCTTTGTCAGAATCCCAGCCACTAGACCACTGGGATAAAAGGGCTTGTTAAGTAGCGGGTCAGTGCGCCCATAACCCCCTCAGGACAACTAGCCTGTAATGTCAAACATTATACATGTTCATATTGTGTAGGCTATAGTGGGTTTAGCCTTAGGGGGTACAACATTGCTAGGGTTTCCTACTTGTATCACCCTGCTGCCTAGTTTCACACATTCTCGTTCAGTTCTACATTCTAACATGGTATCACGAGCCTAGGTTGCTACCTAGGACCGCTTTCTCCTACGGGCCCACTATTCCGCTAGAAGCGCCCTCGTGCGCCCTACCTTACGTGCGCCCTCGTGCGCCTTTCTATACTCGTGCGCCCTCGTGCGCCCTCGTGCGCCCTACCTTACGTGCGCCCTCGTGCGCCCCCGTGCGACCCGCCCTTCGGTCTGCCCGCGTGCCGTCCTGCAGCCCTCGCGCTGCCTCCTGCAAGCTAGTACGGCCCTCGAGCCGCCCCTGCAGGTCCGTCAGGCCCCCGAGCCGCCTCTGCAGACCCGTCAGGCCCCCCCGAGCCGCCTCTGCAGGCCCGTCAGGCCCGAGAACCGCCCCTGCAGCCAGCGCGCTGCCCTGCCGAGCCGCGTGTCGCCCGTGGGCGCTGCCTCTGCCCCGTCGCGCTGCCCTGGGGAGCCGCGCGCGACCCCCGCTGTCCCGTCGCGTCGCCCTGGGGAGCCGCGCTCGGCCCCCGCTGCCCCGTCGCGACGCCCTGGGGAGCCGCGCTCGGCCCCCGCTGCCCTGTCGCGACGTCCTGGGGAGCCGCGCTCGGCCCCCGCTGACCCGTCGCGACGCCCTGGGGAGCCGCGCTCGACCCCCCGCTGCCCCGTCGCGACGCCCTGGGGAGCCGCGCGCGCCCCCCCCCCCCCCCCCCCCCCCCCCCCCCCGCTGCCCCGTCGCGGCGCCCTGGGGAGCCGCGCGCCGCCCCCCCCCCCCTCGCTGCTGCCCGAGCCACCCTGCAGCCCGCGAGCCGCCTCTGCAGCGCCGAGTGCGCTCTGCCAAACCCTAAAATAAATAATTAATTATTAAAAAAAAAAAAAAAAAAAGGGAGCAGCTGCCCCTGGCCCCTGGAGCAGCCGCCCCTGCAGCAGCCGCCCCTGGCCCCTGGAGCAGCCGCCCCTGCAGCAGCCGCCCCTGCAGCAGCTGCCCCTGCAGCAGCCGCCCCTGGACCTCTGCAGCCGCCCCTGGCCCCTGGAGCAGCCGCCCCTGCAGCTGCCGCGGAGCCCTCGCCCTGCATTGGTAGCGGCCTCGCCGTTACCACCGTCGTACGCCTGCCCTTCTCGCCACTGGTGAGCACTGCCCTGCCCGTATTGCTGTTACTGCTGCTCCTGCTGCTACTGCTCTTTCTACTTCTACTGCTGCTCCTGGCGTGGCCAGATGCAGCTCCAGCGCCGTCCGCGTGAGTCCCTCACGCCCCAACAGCTTCGTGAGTGGTATGCTGGTTGGGGTTGTAGGGGTGGCCGCGCTGCTGCTACTACTACTGCTGCTACTACTGCTACTGCTGCTCCTGGCGGTGGCCAGATGCAGCTCCCGCGACGTCCGAGTGAGTCCCTCACGCCCCAGCAGCTTCGTGAGTGGTACGCTCAGCGTGGAGGGTCACGGGGTACTGCTCGCTGCCCGTACGTCATTCGCACTGGTGCTCGGACTGGTCAGCCTTGCGGGACGTTTGGTCACACAGAGTCCCGCTGCTTCACTCGTCTGAGCGACGCCTGGCGTACAGAGTTTGGCGACGCGGCTGAGCTCCCCGACTGGGTGGAGCTGCTTAGGCAGAGGGTAGATATCTATGCTCTTGACTATGATGCTATCCTCACTGCCATGTGTGCATTTCCTACTAGTGCTGAGAGTGCCTGTCACCTGTGTGTGCCGCCTGACCCCGGTATCCAGTCTGCTGCTCTAGGTACTGGTGAGGCTGCTGCACTAGGTGCTCGTGTGTCTGTTACCCCAGGTGCTGGTGAGGCTGCTGCTCTAGGTACTCGTGAGTCTGCGCCCTCTGGTACTTCGTCTACTGAGGCACTGCACACCTTCACACTGGACTCAGGCGCTTCCCGCTGTTTCTTTCGTGACCGCACTGCCCTTGAGCAGCTTGCTCGGCCGGTTGCAGTCTCCCTCGCTGACCCCTCTGGGGGTCCGGTCATTGCGACCTCCTCTACTGTTCTCCCTTGTCCTGCGGTCCCGTCGGGCACTCTGTCAGGTCTCTACCTCCCCTCGTTCTCTACGAACTTGGTGGCGGGTAGTGCGCTCCAGGACGGGGGTGTCCACCAGTTTACCCCTGCCTACGAGCGTGTGACACACTGCACGTGCGCTCGGACGGGCCGCCACCTGGCTACCTTCACTCGGCAGCCGGGGTCGGACCTGTACACACTGACCACTGAGTCCCCACAGGTAGCTGCGTCTGCGTCTGCGTCAGGTCAGCTGTCTGCCCCCTGCTCGTGTCGCTCTCTGGCACACGAGACTGTCCTCTGGCACCACCGTCTTGGTCACCCGTCAGTGTAGCGCCTTCGTGCCATGCACAACCGGTACCTTGTCTCTGGTCTTCCCAGGGTTCTCCCTCCACTCCCACCCTCGCCTGCTCCTCCCTGCCTTCCCTGTGTCGAGGGGCGGCAGCGCGCCGCTCCTCACTCCTCCTCGTTTCCCCCGACGACTGCTCCCTTGCAGACGCTCCACATGGACGTGTGGGGCCCAGCCCGCGTCCGTGGACAGGGTCAGGAGAGGTACTTCCTTATCGTTGTTGACGACTACTCGCGCTACACCATGGTCTTCCCCTTGCGCACCAAGGGTGAGGTCCCTGATGTTTTGATCCCTTGGATCCGCGCTTCTCGTCTCCAGCTCAGTGAGCGGTTCCACTCGGACTTTCCTGTCCTGCGTCTGCACTCTGACAGAGGTGGTGAGTTCTCCTCTGACCTCTTGGCAGCCTACTGTGCGGAGCACAGCATCCGCCAGTCGTTCACGCTTCCGGCCTCTCCACAGCAGAATGGGGTTGCTGAGCGCCGCATTGGTTTGGTCATGGAGGTCGCTCGTACCTCCTTGATCCATGCGGCTGCCCCCCACTTTCTGTGGCCGTTTGCGGTCCGATACGCTGCGCATCAGCTCAACCTCTGGCCCCGTGTCTCCGTTCCGGAGACTTCGCCGACACTGCGTTGGACGGGAGAGGTTGGCGATGCGTCGCGTTTTCGGGTCTGGGGATCCAGAGCTTTTGTTCGCGATACGTTCGCGGACAAGCTCTCCTCCCGCGCTGTTCCCTGTGTCTTCCTTGGCTTTGTCCCGGACGCGTCTGGTTGGCAGTTTTACCACGCCACCTCGCGCCGTGTCCTGCCCTCTCAGGACGTCACTTTTGACGAGTCCGTGCCCTACTACCGCCTCTTCCCCTACCGCACTGCCCCGCTCCCCCCCCCGCCTCTCTTCCTCGCGCCAGGTGCTGCTGTGGTAGACCCCCTCCCCCCTCAGGGTGTCGCTCCCTCAGGTGTGTCCCAGGTAGACCCGGTTGAGCCTGTCGAGGTAGCTGTCGACTCTCGTCCTGCCAGGGGTGCTGAGCCTGAGCGTGCGGAGCCTGGGGTTGCGGAGTCTGGGGGTGCTGAGCCTGGGGGTGCGGGGTCTGGGGGTGCGGAGCCTGCGGGTGCTGAGTCTGGGGGTGCTGAGCCTGGGGGTGCGGAGCCTGCGGGTGCTGAGTCTGGAGGTGCTGAGCCTGGGGGTGCTGAGCCTGGGAGTGCTACGTCTGAGAGTACTGAGCCTGAGCGTGCTGCACCTGGGGGAGGCCTCTCCTCGCAGCAGCTGCGTGAGTGGTACTTACAGTACTGCAGCCTCAGGAGAGGTGCTTCTGGAGCTCGGAGTGGTGCCGGAGCTGGTGCTAGTGCTTCCCCTCCTAGGCGGGAGCTCCCCTCTCCCCAGCAGCTCCGAGAGTGGTACGCTAGGCGCTGCAGTCTCCGGAGTGGCGCTCCCGGTGTCGTGGACTCTGGAGCTTCTGGAGTTACTGGAGGTGCTGCTGCTGCTGGCGGTGCGGCTGGCGCTGCTGGAGGTGCTGCTGGTGCTGCTGGAGCTGCTGGAGGTACTGCTGCTGCTGGAGGTGCTGCTGGCGCTGCTGGAGGTACTACTGGTTCTGGTGCTGCTGGAGCTGCTGGAGGTGCTGCTGCTGCTGGCGGTGCAGCTGGCGCTGCTGGAGGTGCTGCTGGTGCTGCTGGCGCTGCTGGAGGTGCTACTGGTGCTGGAGCTACTGGAGCTGCTGGTGGTACTGCTGCTGCTAGCGGTGCTGCTGGCGCTGCTGGAGGTGCTGCTGGTACTGGTGCTGCTGGAGCTGCTGGAGGTGCTGCTGCTGCTGGTGGTGCTGCTGGCACTGCTGGAGGTGCTGCTGGTACTGGAGCTGCTGGGGACCCTGCTGCTGCTGGCGGTGCTGCTGGAGCTGCTGGGACTGGCCCTGCTGAGGGGGTTGGAGCTGGAGGTGCTGAGCGGCCACGGCCGTACTACGTTCCGCTCCTTCAGCAGGTTCTTGGCCTTCCGCCCTCTCCTGGTCCTACTCCTCCCCTACTGAGTCCACCGCTTGTCCAGTCGCAGTCACAGTTACAGCCAGTCTCTCCACTTCCTGGTCCTTCTCCCTACACTGCGCCGACGGGAGGTCTTACGGAGCGTCGTGAGCCTGAGTCTCGTCCTCCGTCGCCTGAGACTCGTCCAGAGTCGTCTGAGTCGCGTCCAGAGTCGCCTGTCCGCGCTGTCCGCGCTGGTCGTCGTGTTCCACGTCAGCGTCCTCCTCCTGTCCTTGGCACTCACTATATGACCCTGCGTCCCTCTACTGCTCCACAGCGTGTCCCACTGCCGTCTCCACCAGCGTCCTCTCTTCCTGCTCTTGCTGACCCGGAGTCTGACTCTCTTCGTGCTGCCAGTCCTACTGTCACGCGTCTCCTTGCCACTGCTATCACTGACCCTTCCTTTGAGTCCTCTGCTGCGTCTGCTCTAGTCGCTGAGCTTGTTGACTTTGCTGCTGCCTGTCGTCTAGACTACGCCGCTAGCCTTGTTGCTGAGTCTGAGTCTGTCTGTCCTCCGTCTGTCGGGGGTGAGTGTGCTCTTGGCACGGACGTCCTTGAGGACAGACAGGAGGAGTTTGAGTGCTTTGCCGCTGCTTTGCCTCATCTCGTGTCCATGCTAGTTGCCCCTGAGGGAGACCCGGATGCACCAGACATCCCGACCCCACGCTCCTACGCAGAGGCGATGGAGGGTCCCTACTCCTCTCAGTGGCAGACAGCCATGGACGCAGAGATGGCTTCCTGGAAGTCCACAGGCACCTACGTCGACGAGGTTCCCCCACCTGGGGTGAACATCGTCAGTGGCATGTGGATTTTCAGGGTGAAGCGGCCGCCGGGTTCTCCGCCTGTCTTCAAGGCGCGTTACGTTGCACGAGGCTTCAGTCAGCGAGAGGGAGTTGACTTCTTCCAGACCTTCTCCCCGACCCCGAAGATGACCACTCTTCGGGTTCTGCTGCACGTCGCTGCTCAGCGTGACTACGAACTCCACTCTCTTGACTTCAGCACTGCGTTCTTACAGGGCAGCCTGCACGAGGAGATCTGGCTGCGCCGCCCACCTGGCTTCACTGGGCCGTTCCCTCCTGGTACCCAGTGGAGCCTCCGGCGGCCAGTCTACGGTCTACGCCAGGCACCCCGTGAGTGGCACGACACACTGAGGACTACTCTTGCTGCTCTTGGGTTTGCTCCTTCTACTGCTGACCCGTCGCTGTTTCTACGCACCGACACCACTCTGCCGCCGTTCTACGTTCTTGTTTACGTAGACGACTTGGTCTTTGCTACTGCTGACACTGAGGCACTCGCCCACGTGAAGTCGGAGCTGCAGAAGAGACACACGTGCACAGACCTGGGTGAGCTGACAAGCTATCTTGGCTTGCGGATCACCCGGGACAGAGCACAGCGCACCATCACCTGGACTCAGTCACACATGGTGCAGTAGGTCCTTCAGCGCTTCCGCTTCACGTACTCCTCGCCTCAGCCCACTCCTCTGCCTACCGGTCACTCGCTCTCAGCTCTGCCTTCGGATGAGTCCGTAGAGCCGAGTGGCCCGTATCCAGAGCTTGTGGGGTGCCTCATGTACCTGATGACCTGCACTCGACCTGACCTAACATACCCTCTTAGCATCCTAGCACACTATGTCGCTCCCGGCCGTCACCGGAAGGAGCACATGGATGCCGCTAAGAGGGTGTTGCGCTACTTGTGCAGTACTTCGGGCATGGGGCTCGTGCTTGGAGGTCGGAGCGACGTTGTCCTCACGGGTCACTCAGACGCTTCTTGGGCTGACGACCAGGCTACGCAGCGGTCGTCTCAGGGTTACACCTTCAGCCTTGGCTCTGGTTCAGTTTCTTGGCGTTCTACTTGCTCTTCTTCTGTTCTCAGCTCCAGTTGTGAGGCTGAGATCTACGCCACAGCCATGGCTGCACAGGAGTTACGCTGGCTCACCTACCTGCTGACCGACCTGGGAGAGCGGCCTCGTTCTCCTCCAGTGCTGTACGTTGACAACAAGGCCGCCATTGCCTTGTGTGAGGAGCACAGACTGGAGCACAGGACGAAGCACATCGCTCTGCGCTACTTCCTTGCTCGAGAGCTGCAGCAGCGTGGTCAGCTTCGTCTGCGTTACGTGGCCACTCGGGCCAACACTGCTGATGTGTTCACCAAGGCGCTTCAGCCTTGTGACCATCAGCGTTTCTGTACTGTTCTAGGCCTTGTGCCTACTCTCCCTCACTTGCTCACTTCTTGACTCTGCTTGTACTGTGATCTCTATATATATATACCTGCATGTTTACTCTTGTTAGGTTGTGATCACTGTACCTCTTGTTATATTATCAAACTGCATGTGAACTGGTCTTGTGACCACTTGCTTGTGCTCGGAATTTGTGTGGTTTCCTTGAGATCCACCCTGAGCTTGCTTTGCTTTGCTTTGACTGGTCTTGTGACCATCCGGTTGTCTCCCACTTAGCCTATGGGGGTGTGTCAAACATTATACATGTTCATATTGTGTAGGCTATAGTGGGTTTAGCCTTAGGGGGTACAACATTGCTAGGGTTTCCTACTTGTATCACCCTGCTGCCTAGTTTCACACATTCTCGTTCAGTTCTACATTCTAACATGTAACCCTTCCCTAGGATCAATCGGGGATCACCAGTGGACCTCTGACACCCCCCCGCACTGGGATGCCCGAAGTGCACACACTGGGATTCGAACCCGAGACCTTCGCTCTGATACCATGTCAGAATCCTAGCCACTAGACCACTGGGATAAAAGTGCTTGTTAAGTAGCGGGTCAGTGCGCCCATAACCCCCCAGGACAACGAGCCTGTAACCCTTCCCTAGGATCAATCGGGGATCACCAGTGGACCTCTGACAACCTTCATCCTTTAAAAGTTGCCAATACGATCTAGACTAGCATGTCTTAGGCCAACATTAGTCTAGCTCGTAATCATCTACTTAATCTACTTGATGGGTTAAGGTTGTTCTCACCTTAGTAGGAACTTGAACTGGTAGGTAGAGCGTGACTTGAGGGAATCTCAACTAGCGAGAGGGAGGGAGGGAGGAGAAAAGGACTAGCAAACCCTAAAGAGGTGTCATATTCATCGCAAAGATTAATTATCTCTAACCAAGATTGCTCTTCGGAAATCGACGTGCAAACGAAAAGTCGTCGGTTCGATTCCTGCAGTCGCACCTTTTCGAACCCGACAAGATCAAGTACATTTACTGTCATACTACATTATTATGTAGAGTACATTGGGTATTTACAGTTTCTTAAAACGCTTCGCAACCCTAAGACGATTTCGTCGCCTCTTGTTTTGAATTTTTCTCCACAAAACGTGTGCATATATTTTACAGGCAAATATGCAGTTTGAGCTAACTATGTACGCAACTGAGGGCCTGCTACCTCAAACCTACCGTAAAAATACCACCGCCAAAACCCGAAACAAAGTTTTCCTTCCTAAGACATCTACAGCCACATGTCGACCAAGTAAGGCATGTCCACCCATGGTGCTCCCTCGCCAAACTCCTGCTCCCCACCCCCTCGCTCCACCCACTCCGCCTCGGACTGACCCAACATGTATGCCGCTCGCAAAAGAATCACCCGAGCCTGTGCCTTCTGCAAAGCCACCCCCACTGCAGCTGTCAAGGACCCCACCAAGTATTATGAGAAACCCGAGCTGTCGCCCCTTCCCACACCTTTGTTAAGAGCCACCTTTACTTGAACCTCCCCCTGTTGTCGTAACCACTGTCGAAAGCTTCACCCCAAACAACCCCAAGTCTCAAGAATCAACGGGAAGAAACGAACCCCCCTGTGCCGCTGCAGAAAAGGATGATAATCCGTTGCCTTCCTCTTCTCTCGCTCCTTGGCAGCAAAACCTACTGTCCGCCCACACTGCCCATTCTGCTGCACCGGTAGCGAAACCGGATCCACGACACTCACCTCAAGCACATGTTTTTCCCTGTCCATTAGGCCCGTCGCCCCGGCCCGTCGCCCCTAGGCCCGTTGCCCACCAGCGGCCCGCCAGCCGCCTCTGCAGCCCGCAAGCCGCCCGCTAGCGGCTCGCCCGCCGCCCCTGCCGCCCGCGCGCCGCTCGCTAGCGGCTCGCCAGCCGCCCCTGCCGCCCGCGCGCCGCCCGCTAGCGGCCCGCCAGCCGCCCCTGCCGCCTGCGCGCCGCACGCTATCGGCCCGCCAGCCGCCCCTGCCGCCCGCGCGCTGCCCGCTATCGGCCCGCCCGCCGCCCGTGCCGCCCGCGCGCCGCCCGCTAGCAGCTCGCCAGCCGCCCCTACCGCCCGTGCGCCACCTGCTATCGGCCCACCAGCCGCCCCTGCCGCCCGCGCGCTGCCCGCTATCGGCCCGCCCGCTGCCCCTGCCGCCCGCTAGCGGCCCGCCAGCCGCCCCTGCCGCCCGCGCGCCGCCTGCTAGTGGCCCGCCAGCCACCTCTGCTGCCCGCGAGTCGCCTGCTCTCGGCCCACCAGCTGCCCCTGCCGCGCACGCGTCGCCTCTTGCTTCCGGTGCGCCACCCCTTGCAGCCTGCGCACTGCCTTCTCGCAGCCCGCTCGCTCCCCTCCCCCTCTGCGCTGCCCGGCTTCTGCCCGCCCTGCGTGCTGCGCCACTATGGCTTCTCTTCGCGTTCTCGCGTTCGATCATGAGGGCCGCCCGATCCAGTTTGACACGTGGCTTGACAACCTGCAGCTGTACCTACTGAGCGACTCTAGGGACACCGTTTCGTTGTTTGACCACACGTCTGCTGCTGCTCCCGCCCCTCCCGCCACAGCTGACAGTGCGACTCGCTCACAGTGGCTTACTCGTGACGCTGCTGCTCGCTTAGCCATTCGCAACCACCTGCTGTTGGCCGAATGCGCTCACTTCGGACAGCATAGGACATCACAGGCACTGTACGACGCTGTAGTCGCCCGTTACTCCTCGCCTGCCACTGCTGCTCTAGGCCGCCTTCTGCTGCCCTACCTGTTTCCCGAGCTGTCCGCTCTTGCCACAGTAGAGGACCTGGTTTCCCACCTTTGCACTAGCGATGTTCGCTACCGAGCTGCCCTACCAGCAGAGTTCCTTACCAAGAACCCACCCCCGATGTACATCACTCTTTACTTCTTAGTCACCCGCCTCCCTGACTCTCTTCGCGCTGTCAGAGACCACATTCTCGCGCTTGACCCCACAGCCCTCACTGTTGACCTTCTCGAGCAGCACCTCCTTGCAACTAAGACCAGTGTAGTCGCTGTAGGTGCTGCTCATGGCACTCCGCGCACACCCTTCTTTGAGGGGTGCTCCCCCCCCCCCCCCTTGCTCCCTCCTACGCCTCTGATGCTGCTGCTGACGTCCCTGGTGCTGAGGACGTCGGGGCTGCTTCTGCTAGTGCGAAGCGCCGCAGCAGCAAGGGCAAGGGTGGCAGGGGTGGTGGCGGTGGCAGGGGGGGTGGTGGTGGGGGCAGCAATGGAGGTGGTGGCGGCAGTGGAGGTGGTGGCAGCAGTGAGACTGGTGGCGGATGTGGGGGCGTTGGTGGCGGCGGTGGAGGCAGCGGTGGGAGTGGCGGTAGTGGCAGCGGTGGGAGTGGTGGCGGTCGGACTGGAGCACAGCGTGGAGGTTCTGGAGAAGGCCAGAGGCAGAAGCAGCAGTGTCGGAGCGAGACCCTGTCGCCCCAGCAGCTTCGTGAGTGGTTTGCTCAGCGTGGGGCGTCTGGGGGTAGTGGTAGCTGCCCGTATCTCATTCGCACGGGTGACAGTGCTCATCAGACATGCGGGAAGTTTCACACTTAGCACCGCTGCTTCTCCCGCTTCGACGACGCTTGGCGCGCAGAGTTTGGTGACGAGGCCGAGCGCCCCCGCTGGGCAGACCTGCTTAGGTCTGGTGTTGCTATCTTTGACCTAGACTATGATGCTATCCTTGCTGCTATGTATGCTTTGTCTGCTAGTGCTGAGGGTGACTGTTACCTGTGTGTGCCGCCTGACCCAGGTATAGAGGCTGCTGCTCTAGGTGCTAGTGAGTCTTCTCTCCCTGGTACTGCGCCTGCTGAGACCTTGCACACCTTCACACTTGACTCAGGTGCCTCACGCTGTTTCTTTCGCGACAGCACCACCCTCACTCCTCTCCCTGCACCTGTACCAGTCAGGATGGCTGACCCCTCTGGGGGCCTAGTCCTCGCCCGTTCCTCCACTGTGCTCCCGTGTTCGGCAGTTCCGTCCGGCTCACTATCAGGCCTTCACCTCTCCTCGTTCTCTACAAACTTGGTGAGTACCACTGCCCTCCAGGACGCGATGGTCACTACCACCACTCCTGGGGGTCAGCGTGTGTCGATCTGCACGTGTACACGGACGGGACGTCACCTGGCCACGTTCACTCGTCGGCCAGGGTCGAGTCTGTACACGCTGGCTACCGAGCCTCCTCAGGTAGCTGCGTCTGCCCAGGTGTCAGCGTCAGGTCAGATCGCACCCCCTTGCTCGTTTCGCCTCCTGTCGCACCAGACCCTTCTTTGGCACCACCGCCTGGGTCACCCCTCCCTGCCACGCCTTCGTGGCATGCATTCCCGCCTCCTTGTCTCTAGTCTTCCCAGGTCTCTGCCTCCCCTCCCGCCCTCGCCTGCCCCGCCCTGCCTTCCTTGTGTCGAGGGGCGGCAGCGCGCCGCTCCTCACTCCTCCTCGTTTCCCTCGACGACTGCTCCCTTGCAAACTCTCCACATGGACGTGTGGGGCTTAGTCCGCGTCAGTGGACAGGGCCGCGAGTGCTACATTCTGCTGGTTGTTGACGACTACACGCGGTACACGACGGTCTTCCCCTTGCGCAGCAAGGGTGAGGTCGTTGATGTCTTGATCCCTTGGATCCGCGCAGTCCATCTCCAGCTCCGCGAGCGGTTCCGTACGGACCTTCCCGTCCTGCGTCTGCACTTTGACAGAGGTGGTGAGTTCTCCTCCTACCTCTTGCGGGAATTTTGTCGTGGGGAGGGCATTCTCCAGTCGTTCACTCTTCCAGACTCCCCTCAGCAAAATTGGATTGCTGAGCGCCGCATTGGCTTAGTCATGGAGGTGGCTCGTACCTCCATGATCCATGCGGCTGCTCCCCATTTTCTGTGGCCGTTTGCGGTCCGGTACGCTGCGCATCAGCTCAACCTCTGGCCACGTGTCTCCTTGCCGGAGACCTCGCCTACACTGCGTTGGACGGGGAAGGTCGGCGATGCGTCTGTGTTCGGGGTCTTGGGTTCTCGTGCCTTTGTTCGCGATATGTCTGCGGACAAGCTCTCCG